ATTGAATTTTCAATAAAAAATAGGGTTTTTTTGGATGGACCTGGTCCCCTCGGTATCAAAAATAAAGTCAGCTTTCCAAAAAGTATAAATTCTATATACATCTTCTTAGAAACTTTTTAGATAACTTAAAAAGAAAAAGATACTTTTTTCCCAAAAAAATGGCAAAAAATCGCCTTTTTTTAATTTTTTAAATTAAAATGCCTATAACTTTGGACTCAGTCATGATTTTTACATAATTCTTTCACTGCTTGATATATAAACTTGTTGTTAAGCGAATAAAAAAATATGGCGAAAATCGGGAATATTTGGACCCGCTATTATCACAAAACTAAAGTAAGGACGGTAAAAATTTTAAAATTTTAATTTTCAAATGCGAATATCTCCTAAACTATAAGAGATATTTTACTGCTACATTTTTTATAGTGCTCGATGAGGAGATTCTATATACGAATTTAAATCGGAACTCAAATGAAGAAATAGGATCGTTTTAAAAATTTAACATAGCCAAGGTGTCCTAATTTGAGGACCCCCCGCCGGGCTCCTGGTTGGCCTATAAGGTCCAAATTCAAAACCTAAACTCGACAACACCTCCTCTTTGTGCATACCAAATTTCATCAAAATCGGATTAACCGTTTAGAAGTTACCGAATTATTTCCCTTTTTTTTTTTTTTTCCTATACCACTGTGCGATATTTAATAATGCACATATATATATATATATATATATATATATATATATATATATATATATATATATATGCATGTGTGTGTAAGATTTAAGGATTTTCAAAATACATATATATATAATTTTGTTCTACACAAATTGATAATGCAACTAGTTAAATACGGATAAATTGGTTTTAGGGGCAGGACCTAGTATGGGAGATATGACCAATTATAGACCGATCGTAAAAAATTCTTTAAGCAAAATTTCTGTACATAAAAGCTATATTTCAGTCAAATTTTGTAATTTATTTTAGTAATAAGTAATGTGTGTTCAAGTGATTTTCTGAAGGGACACTTGCATGGGACCGACCGCACCCATGTTATGGACCGATCGTGAAAAAATTTTGAAATAGAATTTTTGTATACCAAACTAATATTTGTGCCAAATTTTGTATCAATTGCTTTATTTGGTAATGAGTAACGTGCGTTTAAGAGATTTTCGTAAAAAGACCTTGTATGACCAATTATGTATATAAAGAGAAAATTTCAAAATTCTGTATCTATATCATTATTTGGCAATGCATATTGTGCATTTAAGTAATTTTCTGGAGGGGACCTAGTATGAGTGCTATGACCAAATATGGACCGATCGTAAAAAAATTTTATAGTGTAATTTATGTATATAAGATCAATATTTGTGCTATATGTATGGATATCAATATTTTGTAATGTGCGTTTAAGTGATTTTCGGGAGGAAACCTTGTATGGGAGCTATGACCAATTATGGACCGATCCGAAAAAATCTTCCATAATAATATTTCTGTATATGTGAGCAATACTTGTACCAAATTTTATATAGATATCTTAATTTAGTAATGAGTTATGTGCGTTTAAGTGATTTTCGGAAGGGGACTTTGTATAGAAGCTATGACCAATTATGGACCGATCGGAAAAAAATTTCATAGTAATATTTCTGTGTATGTGAGCAATACTCGTACCAAACTTTATATGGATACCTTAATTTAGTAATGAGTTATGTGCGTTTAAGTGATTTTCGGGAGGGGACCTTGTATGGGAGCTATGACCAATTATGGACCGATCGGAAAAAAACTTTCACAGTAATATTTCTGTGTATGTGAGCAATACTTGTACCAAACTTTATATGGAAATCCATATATATATATATATATATATATATATATATATATATATATATATATATATATATATATATATATATATATATATATATATATACATATATATATATATGGATATCTTAATTTAGTAATGAGTTTTGTGCGTTTAAGTGATTTTCGGGAGGGGACCTTGTATGGGAGCTATGACCAATTATGGACCGATCGGAAAAAAAATTTCCTAGTAATATTTCTGTGTATGTGAGCAATACTTGTACCAAACTTTATATGGATATCTTAATTTAGTAATGAGTTTTGTGCGTTTAAGTGATTTTCGGGAGGGGACCTTGTATGGGAGCTATGACCAATTATGGACCGATCGGAAAAAAACTTTCATAGTAATATTTCTGTGTATGTGAGCAATACTTGTACCAAACTTTATATGGATATCTTAATTTAGTAATGAGTTATGTGCGTTTAAGTGATTTTCGGGAGGGGACCTTGTATGGGAGCTATGACCAATTATGGACCGATCGGAAAAAAATTTCATAGTAATATTTCTGTATTTGAGAGCAATACTTGTACCAAATTGTATATGGATATCTTAATTTAATAGTGAGCAGTGTTGCCACAGCAAAATTTTTTTTCTAACCAAAATTCCAATAAAAAATAACCAAATTAAGAAAAAGTAAACAAAATTATTTTTATTTGTTTCATGTTTACATTTGGACATTAAGATAACAAATTCATTTTCTGAAGTGGAACTTGTAACTATGTTAAATTTCGTCGCTAAACTGGTATTATAAAGACAGTTATGAGAGTTAATGTAATTTTCTGTACGGGATCTTATATGAGACGTATGGTCAATTATGGACTAATTCTCATAAAATCTGACAGAGATATTTTAGTTCCTTTAAAACTTCCTTTGTTGCTATATTGCAGTACATTATGAGCTTTTAAGTCATTTTCTGAGGAGACTTTATAAGGGATAGAGTCAATTATGTACCGATCCTTATAAACTTTGACAAATACATTTCCAATAAAACTTTTTTATATTGAATTTCATCGCTATAGACGCTTTTTTAAGCAATATAGTAATTTTCTGAATAGGAAATCGTTGACCGATATTTCGCATTTTCAATACCAATCAAACTGGGTCAATTAAAAATATTTTGGCAAAATATTTCAGTTTTCTATCTTGTTTCTTTTCGACTCTATCGTGTTTTCAACAATAAATATATGTCTCTTCGCGGATTCGTTAACAAATGTATTTTAAAAAACAACTGAGTTTTTAACGCGTTTTAGCGCAATTCAAAAATAATCCACATATGACTTTTTGGAAAACAATTTTAAATTATAAAATTCTTCCCATTTTATGTACAGATTTGGAGATTTCGTTCGAAATTTGTGTTTAAGGGGTATATTTGACCAAATTATAATACCATGTAGCGGATGTTAGCATTACATTCATAACTTCAGCAATATTTGTAAACGTAATCTATCCAAATTATCCGACAAATTTACCAAAATTTAGAATTTAAGACGGTAAAATAAAAAGTAGTATACAACATCATCTAGAAAATGTAGAGATCATCTAGAGATAGTAGAAGTCAAATATTATGAGTATCAAATCTTTGCATATATCGCGATTATTGTTCGTCGTACGAGTTTAGATGTTATTACAACTTTTGTATACAATAAAATTTCATTTTCCTTAGCTGTGTTGCTTAAAAATATCAGTTGATTAAATACATTAAAGATATTGTGATACTATTCTTGCATCAATTAGCAGAAAATACTTTACTAATTCTAATTAAATCATTTATCTTAGAATTTCGGCAAATTAGCACAGTATCTGTTTATGCAAAATTTCAGAAGGTATAGAAGTTCCAATTATACTTTAAATTTTAAATTTAATTTGGAGGACATAATCTACTAAGTACGTAGACTATTACCACCAAATTCCATAAAAATCGAAATACGAAATACAGCCTACTTCGTTTTTATATATAAATATCGCGAGTTCTTTACATAATATGTTCCAATAGAAATATTAAAGGAAGGACGGAGTTTGAATCGACCCAAAAAGTGATTTTAAGTTCATGGATGCACCAAAAGGAGAGAGAGGATTCATTATTCACGGTGACAGATTGACTAGTGTAAATAAAATAATATTACGGTTGATTTAAAACTAGAGATAAACGAAGTTTTTTTTAAATTTTATTTTTAGAATAAAAGCAAACAGCATTTAGTTCAATTGTTTGTAAAAAATAACCAAAACGAAAAAATAATTCACATGTACACATGCAAAATAAATATAACCAATTTTGGTTAATAATAACCAACAATACTAGTGAGTTATGTGCGTTTAAGTGATTTTCGGGAGGGGACCTTGTATAGGATCTATGTCCAATTATGGACCGATCCAGAAAATTTTTTCTCTCAATGAATTCCATTGACATAAGATTTTAATTTGTAAAATTTTGTGAAGATATCAATATTCTGACAGAAGTTATTAACAAAAAACTCATTTTCCGGGAATATGTACTTTTGTATGGGAGGTATATGAAATTATGGACCGATTCTGGCAGTTTTCAACAAGAATCAATACCTTGTGTAAAAACGAATGTATGATGACTTTCATGAAATTATCTTGCATAGTTTTCGAGAAAATTACATCAGAATGTGTAAAAAATGCTTATTTTTTTCGGAGTTGTTTAAAATTTTGATTCATAACTTTTCTTGATGTAAACCGATTTTGCTTATTTGCTTATATTCATTACCGGATAATAATGAATATTTTGGGAGAATTCGGTTAAATTACATTGCTTCGTTTTAACGTGAGCGTGTTTTACACAGACAGACAGACGGACATAGCTAAATCGACTCAGAATTTCATAAGGAACCAGAATAAATATACTCTGTTGGGTCTCAGATGAATATTTCTTGGTGTTACACACGGAATGACAAACTTATATATACCCTCTATCACCACTGATGGTGGTGGAGGGTATAAAAATAGCAAGTTTTAATTTATGATTTTTTAAAATACTAATATAATAATAATATGGTAAAACGAATTAAGTTAATTTCGGATTCCTTGTTTTGAAGTGAAGATCAATATTTATAAAGCATACTTTAACAAAAATTTAAACATTATTAATATTATTAATTTGTTTGTATTTATTAAATATTTTAGGTGGAGGCGAATTTGGAGATGTTTGCCGTGGTCGCTTAAAAATACCACCAAGTTTTGTACAAGATATTGATGTGGCAATCAAAACACTTAAACCAGGTATATTATGTCACATTTTAAGGCCCATTATTACAACTTGGCAATAACTAAAGGTACGATTTTATAATGTAGATAACTCGTTTCTAGTTCTTATAATTGTGCTTTAGTTGAAGGATATCGATAAAGCATAAGGAGATCTTTCCGTCAGCTTATATTCCCGTATACATAAATATAATAACGAGAAACAAATTAGCCTTTAGTTATTGGCAAGTTGTAATATTGGGCCTAAAACTACTGTTAACTTTAAAATTAATTAAAAAAATTAGCTTGGCTTATATTTCGGTAAATATTTGAAGACAATATATAAAAATATGTTTTATTCTAAACATTACATAGTCCAAGAAAATAAGGGTTTCACTGCGGAATTTTTGAAAATTGACACAACATATCCTTATCATTATTAATAGGTATAAAAATCGTGTGCGATACGCGAGGTATTGATGGTCAAAGGCCACACAAATCACAATTTTTTACGTATAACAATACGTCGTACGCGTTTCGATGCTGTTATAATTTCTATAAAGAATTAAATTCCCTACATTTTAGTTCTACAGTGCATAATTATACCCTACACCACTATAGTGGGCAGGGTATTATGCGTTTGTGCTGATGTTTGTAACGCATTAAAATATTAGTACTATACACACCTTAAAGTATACCGATCGACTCAGAATCACTTTCTGAGTCGATTTAACGATGTCCGTCCGTTCGTCCGTGTGTCCATGTAAACGTTGTTATCAAAGTACAGGTCGCAATTTTCAAGATAATTTGGAATACACGTCTGTTTTCGCCCAAGGACAAAGCCTATTGAAAATTTTTAAAATCGGTCCATTGTTTCACCTAGCCCCCATACAACTGAACCCCCCGAAAAGAGCTTTTGAGCTCATAATTATGTATAATATAAATGTATCTCGATGAAAGTTCGCACAACTAAGATTTATACAAGCCTTGATGACCTCGGAATTTCGGACTTCATTTGACCCTAGCCCTCATACAAAATCCCTTTCAGAAAGTGACTTGAATATACGCAATTCATTTATTAACACTGTTATTGCAATGAAATTTAGCACAGACAAATATTATATATATTATATAAATACAAATCTATCCAACCCATTTTATCGGGATCGGTCCACATTTGCTCCTATCCCCCATATAAAGCCTCTTTTAGAAAATAATTTTTTCGCCAATAAATTGCTTTTTTTGGTCAATTATGGACCGATCCTCGTAAAATTTTCTGCTTCTTTTAGTCAGTTATGAGCGTTAAGTTAATTTTCTGAAGGGGGCCTTAATGGGGGATAGGGTCAATTATGGACCGATCCTTGTAAAATTTTACAATGATATTAAGGTTCCTATAAAATATGTTCATGTCGAATTTCGTCGCTATAGATGCTTCTTTTCGACAGTTTTGAGCATTAGTTATTTTCTGAAGGGTACCTTATATGGGGGGTAGGGTCAATTATGGACCGATCCTCATAAAATTTTACGAAGGTATTAAGGTTGCTATAAAATATGTTAATGTCGAATTTCATCGCTATAGCTGCTTCTTTTAGTCAGTTATGAGCGTTCAGTTAATTTTCTGAAGGGGACCTTAATGGGGGTAGGGTCAATTATGGACCGATCCTTATTAAATTTTACAGAGCGATTTAGGTTTCATGTCGAATTTCATCGCTATAGATGCTTCTTTTAGTCAGTTATGAGCGTTAAAGTCATTTTCTGAAGGGGAGCTTATATGGGGGCTAGGCGAATTCGTGGACCGATTTTGCCCATTTTCAATACCAAACAAACTGCCTCAATATAAAATGTCTGTGAAAAGCCCGCTAGCTACTTCGATTTGGACTCTATCGTGTTTTCAACAGACAGACGGTCAGGCGGACGGACATAGCTAGATCGTCTTAGAATTTAATAAGGATTCAGAATATATATACTTTTATGATGAATATTTCGATATGTTGCAAATGGAATGACAAAAACAATATACATACCTCTATCTTTTTTGATGGTGGTATAAAAATAAATCACATTAAATATTCATAACTGGTGTAGGGTATCATATAGTCGGCCAAGCGCGACTATACTTTCTTACTTGTTTTTTCATTGCAATGATTTTTTCAAATCTTAATATTTTTAACTGCGATACAGATTATGTCGCAATTTTTCTTTATAATATTAGCTAAATATACATACTTAATTTCTTAGTACAATCCGAAATTTCCGCCTATCCGAAATTTCCGATGGGGTCACAGGTCATATAAATTTTCCGAAAATTTTTCTCGATGAGAAAAATACAGAAACGGGGTACTGGTCGCGATAGGAGCATACTTCGTATATTTTGCTATTATGTGATAAATTTTTCTATTTTTACACATTATGAAAAATTTAAAAGTTATTAAAAATTCCCCAGGACATTAACGTTAATTTAACTTATTTTGGAAAATACTCTAATAAAAATATTTTATTACATAAAATATATCTATATTTACTCGAATATAAGTTTTTGTTATATATATATATATATATATATATATATATATATATATATATATATATATATATATATATATATATATATATATATATATATATATATATATATATATATATATGTAATAATGTAATTTCCAAAATATAATATCCGACCCTATATATATATTCTATATATCCGACCCTGTATATATATTCTGAATCCTTATAGATAGCGGAGTCAATTAAGTCATGTCCGTCTGTCTGTTGAAATCAGTTTTCTGAGGACCCCAGATATAATAATTCTATCAGACATGCTTTCGAGAAGTTTCCTATTTAAAATCAGCAAAATCCGTCCATTAACAACGGAGATATAAGCAAAAATCCGAGACAACCTCTGAAATTTTCATAAAAAATAAGCAACAACAACACTGCTTATTCATTGCGTTGTGTATTTTGTTTTTGTTTTTTGATTATTTCGTTTCGTATGTTTGAATGGCTGTGTGTTTCATCGCCATGTGTACAGGGTTTCAAAAAACTTCTAATTGCAGTCGCAAATTACTAAATATTTGACTAAATTTAGTACCATGCTTAAAAAATAGTAACTAGTTAAAATTTCCCCTTACAAGCTAACTGAAGTCAGTCAACTGTGTCAACACATTGCTGCAATAATTTGCAAGTGGTTTTGTTTTTCTTCAGCAGCCACACACACAAGCAGCGGCCATGTTAAGTTTTTCAACTCAGCCGAACTGAACACAACGACTGAACAGTAAAAACAGTTTTGCGTGTGCTGCTTACGTATTGCTTAGTTCTTGGTTTCGTTTTCTTACTAAGGGACGTAAAAAAAACTGATAGTTTGACTGGTTAGTACAAATCAAGCCGACTGAACAATAAAACTTGATGGGTTGTTTGTTCATTAGGACTTGTATGCAATTTGTTTTAGTATATTGTATGTTTTTGTGTTTAAATTTGACAAAATTAAACAAAGTAATTGATAATTATTGCTAATAGAAATTGTTAATTAATTTAAAATTTATAAAATTATAAATTACTATACTTATAAATTTAGATATTTTCTTTAAATAAAAATTGATTTAACTTTAAGCATTTTGATGATTTTTTTGTGAGATTTTGTTATTGTATGTATGTATGTATGTATGTATGTATGTATGTATGTATGTATGTATGTATGTATGTATGTATGTATGTATGTATGTATGTATGTATGTATGTATGTATGTATGTATGTATGTATGTATGTATGTATGTATGTATGTATGTATGTATGTATGTATGTATGTATGTATGTATGTATGTATGTATGTATGTATGTATGTATGTATGTATGTATGTATGTATGTATGTATGTATGTATGTATGTATGTATGTATGTATGTATGTATGTATGTATGTATGTATGTATGTATGTATGTATGTATGTATGTATGTATGTATGTATGTATGTATGTATGTATGTATGTATGTATGTATGTATGTATGTATGTATGTATGTATGTATGTATGTATGTATGTATGTATGTATGTATGTATGTATGTATGTATGTATGTATGTATGTATGTATGTATGTATGTATGTATGTATGTATGTATGTATGTATGTATGTATGTATGTATGTATGTATGTATGTATGTATGTATGTATGTATGTATGTATGTATGTATGTATGTATGTATGTATGTATGTATGTATGTATGTATGTATGTATGTATGTATGTATGTATGTATGTATGTATGTATGTATGTATGTATGTATGTATGTATGTATGTATGTATGTATGTATGTATGTATGTATGTATGTATGTATGTATGTATGTATGTATGTATGTATGTATGTATGTATGTATGTATGTATGTATGTACAGTGGACGTCCACTAGTACGAATTATATAGTGTCAGGCCCTTTCGTAATACCGAAAAATTCGTATTATTGAACAACACATTTTGTATGTTTAAATTCAAATAATACACATAAAATATTGGATTTTATTTATTTTTGTTTTATTTTTCATGAAAAATTACATAACGGAACAAAATATAATAAATGTGTATTATTTTAAATAAATTTCTTGTACATAAACAGGCATAAAAGGGACATATTTACGTATATGAATTGTTAATTTTGAAAGTATCGTGAGTCCAATGGTTGAAATGAGATATATGTAGAAGGTTTTAAATTTTAATGTTTTTAAAAAGATGTGTGCCAAAGACAATTTGCAATTTACATATGTGTTCTAAAATGTATTAAAATGTTCAGATTACATAAAACTTTTATTAGAAACTTGAATGGAATATACCACAATTCTCTAACTTATAATTTTCTCTTAAAAATTGGAATAGTTATCCTTAAACCCATTGTTTGGAATGTGGAGTCACACTACTTTCAAAATTAACAGTTCATACATACATATGTATATAAATATCATTTTACTTATTAAAAAATCCATCATTTAACATCGATGTTTATTACATTGTAAAATGATTCTTACGGCTTTTTCAATAACAGCGCTTTTGAGG